AAAAAAAAAAAAAAAAAAATTGCAGGTTGTTCACAAGCTGTGCTTTATCTCACCAGCTGGTGATTAATTACTGGTTTAATCTTATCTCCAATATTTGCTAGCTATGGTGGATAATTTACATGTCAAGTGAAAGGAAAATCCACTCTGTAAATTTCCACAAAAAAAAAAAAAAAAAAAGAAAATAACTCACATAAATTAAATGCAAAAATCAAAATACAAGAGCTAACACTTAATAATATAATTCCATTTATATATAGTTTTTATGTGGAAATTATATATAAAAAGAAAAAAGAATTAAAATAATAAAAAAAAAAATGAGATGAGAAGGAAAAAATTGTCTACCCTCAACCAACCTTATGGCTATAAATAGTACACCCTTTCTAGTCACATACTCACATTCTCACATTTCACAACAATTTTATAAGTTGGGGGAAAGAAAAAAAAAAAATACTACACTTATATAATTGTAATTTTTTTAAAAAAAATGGCGTCGAATTCGAATTGGAGTGTGATGGAAAATAAAGTGTTCGAGAATGCCCTGGCCGTGTACGACCAGGACACACCCGACAAGTGGCAGAACATAGCTCGGGCAGTCGGAACAAAGACCATTGACGAGGTCAAATTCCATTACCAAAAGCTCGTCGAGGATATTGAGGCCATCGAGTCGGGAAGAGTGCCTTTGCCCGACTACACGTATCGTGAAAATGGACGAGGACGAGCTAATGGTGAGGAACAAATATATATATTAATATTTAGATAAACGAGTAGCAACGTACAAATGTACGTACGTAATAAAGTACGTATTTTTCTACATCGTGATGTGTAATTGGTTTTATTTTATGATTTTTAGCTAAGATTTTTATTGGAATAATATTTTTGAAATTAATTTGATAGTTAATTTTTTGAAATATATTGAGAGATAATTGTATCTTTTTTGTTTTGTTGGCAGGCCGCAGGCGTATTTGAAGCAAGTGGAAAGAAATTAGGCCTTTTGGATCTATTGATGTTTATGATTTTTAAGAGGAAGAAAAATTTCATCACGCGTGAAGCAAATTAATTAAATAATAAGCGTGTGACAAAAAAGTGTATTATTGTGCGTTTCTCGTTATGTATTGACTATTTATTTATTTTTAATGAAAGTTTAAAAGTTAGTTCATGTCCTCTTGCAATATCTAAAGTCATGCAAGTCATCCGTATAAAAACTATTTAAATATAAGGAGATGCTACAGTTCCGTTACGAAATTATTTCGTCGGGGTTTGTAATCGTTAGATCAGCTATCTCGACAATTACATGATAATCTAACGGCTACAAACTTCGACAGAATGATTACGGGACCGTAATATTTCCCTTAAATATATAACTAAGTCGAACACAATAAATTATTTCAACGCCTAAAATATACATGCACGCTTTCGTAAAATCATATTACTCCTTGATGTGTCAAACGTTGTAACCCAATAGTATTTTTCTTAATTAACAACTTTGTATACTTTTATATAACCAAATGTGATATTTTAAAAATTCAAAATATAATATTCCATGATATTATAATATACCTTTTTTGTTAAGTAAGTATATTTGTCTAGTAATGTATAGAATTTGTGTTATACAATACAATAATGGTGAAAATGCTACTATTATGTGGTTAGACAATTATAAGTTTTCAATAAATATGCAATACTTGCATACTTGAAGTGTTATACTACTTGAGAGTACTACAATTTTATGGTTTTAGAAAATATACTAATTAGGACATGTTTGAGATACTACAATAAAAGATATGTGGTTTCTCGTACATGAATGCCTTATCTAATTAATATATATGGGAGAAATTGAAAGTATGAGTAAGGTCGATCCACCTAACTGTTAGGATGTTCAACGCATGAGTATCTGTAAAAATTTAAAATTAACGTGTTAATGACGTGTCAATTTTAAGCTAAAGAATTATTTTCAGTTAAATTATATTTGAACCGATTAATGTTAAAAATGATAAGATTAATTAATTAGATTCCAATGTGATGAGAATGGAGATCTTTAACTTAATTAATTAATTATTTCATTTATTTTGATTATTATTAGTGGTATTCTAGATTTGTTAGGAAATTTATTTATTTATTTATTTTTCTCTCTTTTAAAGAGGATCAATAGTGGTTCTCCACTTACCTCCTTGAGTGACTCGAATTCGTGACCTATTGGTCTCAAGTGAGGGGTGCTACAACTGAGCTACCTCTTCTTGTCAAACTTATTTATCTGTTACTTTATTAAAACTCTTGTTTTGCTGGGTAAAATATTTAATTAGGGTTTTAGGTGTTCTATTTAAGAGACATCTTCTCTTGTATTCAAGGGTCGAAGTTTATAAAATAAAAATATTTTTTTGAGAGATTTATCTCTTGTTTTTCATTTCGTACGCTTCGCTGCATCAGTTGGTTCCACAGACCAATACGTTTTAGATGCCGCCAATGAGAGTCGAAACAACCGACGAGCGCCATGTCGCCGCCTTCGAATCCTTAAGCTGCCAAGTCACGAATATCGCCGCGGGCTTTGGCTGACAATTCGATGCCATGGGTTGTCATATGTCAGAGCTGTTTGCGCAGTTCGAGGAACTGCGATTGGTCGTACATACCACTGTCGCATGCAATTGGTTGAACCATACTGCCCACGAAAGAGGGCAAGGTGAGGTGCGTGGGGGTCACGGCCGTGGCGCACGCGGGGTGCCCCGCTCATCGTCACCTTACTCATGGGTCGAAGACAATGGGGATGAAGACACCGTCTCCGAGTTCACTCCACTCGGTCATCAGGCATAGGATGACAACTATTTGTCTTACGGTCGGTGTTGAGAGTCATTGTATCGAGTCAAGATTCTCAAATTTCCAGGTCACTTTACAGACGTGTAAGGGTCGATCGTATATGAGGGTCCGCCTCGTTTTGATGACGAAGAGATGACCTAGTATGAGGGTCCGCCAATTTTTTGCGAAGAGAATTATATGGCGTTGGTGGGTGTCGTGGCGACTATCGAGGATGTAACAATGGATTCCGCAGACAAAGAGGCCTCAATTACAAAAGTTGACGTTTTATTCCCCATGGCGGTCCTTTTTTATTTCTCCAATCGCGAGTCGTTCATCAAATCTGCTTCTACTTGCTGAACTCAAAGGGTGTTACTACTTTGTTAAGAAAGTTGAGAACAATACCTATGATTTTTATGTGCTAACGCGATGCCAAAAAAATATTACAGGGATAATTAACCTCCTATTGTCAGAGATAGAGCTAGTTACAATATGACAGTGGTTTACATGAGTGACATGAAGCACCAGTTAAAGTTTGGGAGTTACTGCAGATGGCGTCGGGAACAAAAGTCAAAGATGGAGACTTGTAGAGCTACAACAGAATCATGCCATGTTAAGTTTGCAGTGGGCCATTCTGTGTGAACTGGATTGACGACGATTAGATTGTGCTGGATTCGAGGACGAATTTTTTCGACAGGGGGAGAATGGAGATCTTAATTATTTATTTTTTTATTTTGATTATTATTAGTGATATTCTAGATTTGATAGAAAATTTATTTATTTATTACTTTATCATAAATCTTATCTTGTTGGGCAACTTATTTAGTTATGGCTTTTAGGTCTATTTAAAAGATCTATTTTCTTGTGATCAATGGTCGAAGTTTTTGAAATAAAAATATTTTCCTAAAAAATTTATCTCTAGTTTTCCATTTCGTACGTTTTCAACACACCATGATGGTTTTGCGATTTCAAATAACAGTTGGTTCTTCTGGTAGGCTATTCTAACTATTGGGCCGATATACTACTGTTTAGTAAAGATTTGGTGGGCAAGGGATAACCGTGTTACCCGACTCGGGTCGATCTCGAGGGAAGGCTATTCAGAGCTTCACTTACTAGTTGATTGTCCAAATTACAAAAAGATTAAATAAAGTCCTAAACAATCTAAGCAATTGATTGGATGGGTTGATTATCAGTAATCGAGAAATAGAAAACGAGCATTTAACTAAGAGCAAGATCGAGTCACCAGCAAGTAGCAAACTAGATCACCGGAGTCTCATGCCATAACCATAACGGGATGATAATCAATTGACATAAGGAATAAATGAGCATTAGATTGCTAACCCTAGTCGTCTAACCCTAAGTGATTAAGCCCTAATCGGGTCCTAATCCTTAAATGAGATCAACAAGCAATTAACTCCTCTATCTACTCAAGCAAGCAATCAAGTACAAGCATCTCCTCCATCATCAATCAAATCCAAATTTACCTTAATAAACATTATAAATAAAAACGGAACAAAAACGAAGTAAAGAGCTTTAAAACTAAATACTCATCCTTTCATTGCGTAGACGATGAAAAACGGAGTCAAAAGCACGAAACTTGAAAGAAACCGAAGTCGCTGGAAAATCTCCCGGAAAATAACATAAGCTCCTAATCAAGAGAGTAAAATAGAACATAAGCTAAGAACCAAAAAAGAAAAAATGAAATAATAAGCTAAGATCCCCAAAATGCAAAAAAAAACAAAAATATTTATACTCCATCCCAAACACACACTAGAAAAACACACAATTAAAAACACACTCTCGAGCTCTCCATGAAATTCGCGAGTTCGCCGGAGGTGATGTGCATGGGCGCGGGCACTCTCGGGCACGCCGAGGAAGTCGTGAGCACGCGATTGTTGGGGTTAGCAATGGCGCGCACGGGTGACTGTAAGGTAGGCACTCTCGAGCTCGCCACTACTTCCGTGGACGCGCGAGTGAGGAAGGGCGATTGGTCGCGACACTCTCGAGCACGCCAAGGCATTCGCGAGCACGCGAGTGGAAAATGCGGCACTCTCGAGGTCGTCGTGCTTTCCGCGAGGTCGAGAGTCTTGCTGGGCGTGTAGTGTGCGGCGTGCGTGCATGCGGGCGTGTGACGCGCGGGCGCGCGGGCGTGGCTGCGAGCTTGCGAGCTTGCGAGTTGGGCCTGCCTAACTTGTGACCACATCGACTAAGGTTCGAAACTCTCGGTTGAAATGGTTCGTGTGAATGGCTCGACACTTCTCGGGATTCGCGGTTCGGCTCTTCTCTCCATCCTCCGAACAATCTGAAATTTCACAACAAAGCACGGAGAAGTACGCCAAAATACAAAATAAAAGAGAAAACACAAAAACACTAGGAAAACGATAAAATGGACCGGTCGACACTAAAACGAACCTAAAACCGACTCAATAACACAGATAAACACATAAAAATAAGCACAAAAACATAACAAACAACTACCTTTACTCAAAATTACCTACACACAATAAGAAATACCATACTTCAAAACATAAAATAAATAGGAGTATGAAATATATAATTGTATCAATATTGTGCATTTTTATTTACAGAACATAACAAGTTGACTCGTCTACCGGTAAAGATCCTCTCACACAATAATTTGTCTAACTACAATGTATATAAAGGAAAATGCAAAGGTCCCGTCATTGGACGGTACCGTCAGCATTTTCCACCATTGAATAAGAAAAGTGGATTATGTTGTGTGGATAATCGACAATAACAAGCCGTAACAGAACCATTTCGTCAACGGGAGTTTAGCCGTTCTCATATATAACAACAAATATTTACTAAATAACCAAAATAAAGACGCGTACCATAACAAATTGATTTGGTGGTTAGTTAATCCAGTTCATCGTATTATTATCCCAATTAAAGGAAAAAAAAAAAAAATGAACGGAATATATGTCATTCTCATGAGAAAGGCCACACTATATTAAACAATGTCACACAATATTAAACAATGTCACAAATCACAATCAATACTGATGAATCATTTATAATAAATTCTATGTAACTAATATCACATGAAATAAGATATTGTTATCATTTGGGAAGATCTTAGCTTTTGAAATCTGGAATTTTGTCCTTTTTCTACTTTGTACTTTTGAAACTATATTTTAATTTCAAGCAACAACCTTGCCAGG